ACTCTAATTTATTAAGAATAATTAAAAATAAATTAATATGATAAATAATATACCATTAAAATTGATATTAAAATGGAAAAAAGTTGATTGAACAAGAAAGGAAGTTGAGACATTACGGCTGCGTTTGTTTTAGTTTTGGGAATACTACTTTTAGTATTCCCAAAAAAGTTAAACAGTAAAATACCCAAAAACTCAGATTTTTTGGAATACTACTCCCAATATTATTCAACTTTTTTTAAACCCCTTAAATTTGATAATTTAATTAAATACCCCTAAATATTTTTTTTAAAATTACAAAAACACCCCAATAATCCACATTTACCAGATTCCGGCCACCACCACCGGAAAATGGCCGGGAATCTGTAGTAGAGAGGAGGATAGGAATGGCGCACTACCGGCTGAATCTGGCTGGTAGTGCGTCGATCTAGCCTTTTCGGCCAGATCCACAATGGATCTGGCCGGAAAAGGCCAGATCTAAGGCCAAAATCTGGCCGTAACAATGGTCACGACGGCCAACAAACGGTCGTCGTGTGACCATCAACGACGACGTTTGTTGGCCATCGTTGGAGCAAAATACTGCCAGATCTGGCCGGAAAAGGCCATATCGACGCATGACCGGCAAGATCCAGCCGGTCATGCGCCCATAAGGTGACTTCGGCCACTCCGGTGGTGGTGGGGGCCGACTGGTGGTGCTGAGGGTGGGTAGGGGTATTTTTGTTAACTTTTAATGTTTATATAGGGGGTATTTGTAAAAAAATAAATATATAGGGTATTTTGTTAATTTATAAATCATACATCGTAATACCCGCCCAATTCAACTTTTTTTAACTTTTTCAAAAAACTTTTCCCAAAACCCCCAAATTTTGAACCAAACGGAGCCTACATGTTTGGGGGAAAAGAGAAATTGGAATCTTTTATTAACTTTTGAAGTGGATGGAGTGGGCTTTTGCACTTCTTTCTTCTATCATATTTTCTTTTTTTTCATTTTTCATTTTTGCTCATTTTTTTTTCTATACTGGGCTCTAAGGTATGTCCCTTCAATAATGTTACTTATATACAGTTTTGGTGGAATCCTAAGTGTATGATTTTTTTTATAAAACTATAAAATTGAAAATGAAGTATTGCTTGAATTGGATTATTGAATTACATGACTATTTTCAGCCATCTTGGCGGCCAATTTAGATAGAATGGAAAAGGGACAATCTCATTGTATATTGGGAAGTGATTTTTAAGCCCCATTTATTTGATTAATGCGCCTCATTTAAAGGGTAAGTTTGTAAAAAATTTAATAATAAATGAACTAGTAAAAGGGTGGGTGTACATAGCAAAATTCTATTTTTTAGTTAAAAAAAAAAAAAATACTATTTTTGTATTTCACTTCAATTCAATAAGATCTTTGTACCAACATCTTTTCCTTCTAATGATAAGATTTATTGTTTTCATCAATTTCCTTTATGATGAAATCTGTTGTTTGAGATCAATAAATCATATTTGGGTTTAGGTTTTTATCTCAAAGCTTATATAAAGTATCTCACTTTTAGTTGCCTACAAATCACTTTTTTCTTTTTTTTTAGAGTTATTGATACAATGAAACGAATTTTTTCCTCTTTTATGAATAACTAGTGAAATTTTTTGTTATGAATCATTTGAAATCTTTTAATGAATTAAAATAAATGATTTCCTTCATAGATAATTGTATAAATAAATAGAACATAATCGAAATAATCTTCTCTTTGTTACATTTGATTTTATTATATTATCTTTATTTAATTATTGAATTGATGGGTGTTTTGGGTCATTGGGATTCTTCATTTTTTTTTTAAAGAATTGAATAATATAAGATGGATTTAGAATATAAAAATACCTTTTTAACCTTATTAAAATAAAATGTGGGGGCTAATGATCAAATTCGTTGGGGTTAAAAATCATTTATCTTGTATTTGTCTGTACATATAACATTGTTGGACCTGGAAATTCATATTAAATTTACATTTGTAATATCAAACATTACACAATAATATTAACTTGTGAATAAAATGTGATATTTCGTGTTATAAAAAAGTTTTGTCAAAGGCATTATTTCTCTTACAAATATTTAAAAAATATATTATTAGTTATATTGTCTCAAAATCATATAAAGAATTTTACACTGCAATATTATCACTTTCCGTTTTCATTTCACATTGTGCTATTAAAAGTTTGGATATGGATTATTCAATAACAAACTACTGTGGTTTCAAAATTATCAGTTGGATTGGATTTTAGGAGTTAGTCAAACCACTCTCTTTATTTCAAAATTATATAAAATCCACCTTTATCGTTATTTGCCATCAGAAATACTTAATTATTGAAAAACTTCAATAACGTCATAATAAATATAAAAGACGAGAAAATCTATTTATTGATACCCTACACACAAACATAATCTGACATTCCACATATATATTATATAATATATTATATATATATATATATATATATAATATATATATATATAATATTGTAAAATAGTGCATAATAGTAGTTTTATTTGCACAAATGTGTTAGAATTATAAGTAGTGTATTAACCATGTCCATGTCCTTTATAATTATAATTATATTATATATATATATAATATATATATATATATATATATTGTAAAATAAGTGCATAATAGTAGTTTTATTTGCACAAATGTGTTAGAATTATAGGATGTATTAACCATGTCCATGTCCTTATAAATTATTGAGCTTCAAAATATCTCATTACTCGGGGGTTTCTCAATTTCTATTGAATTTTTTAGCATTTAATTCTAATATCATTTAAAACTTTCAACAAAATTTGCCAACATCAAAAGGGCCATTTTGGACATAAAATAGAAATATATTCCCGCCAAAACCAACTAACTCGACTCCCTATATAAATCTCTGCAAATTTCATCCTTTACCTCAAAATCATCCTTCAATGGCGATCAAGATTCTGACTCTCCTCACTCTCTTCACCTTCCTCTTCTTCAACATCCGTAACTTCCATCTCCACCCACGACCTCGACGCCCTCCTCATCTCCTCCGCGCCAACGGTCACTCTCTCTTCGCCAACGCCATCTCCACCTCCGACCTCCTCTTCGACCTCCTCTCTCTTCTTCTTTAACTCTTTGCCCTACAACCCTTCCCTTTTTGCCCTCGATATGACACAGACGCCGTCGTTTTATCTCTCCACTCTCCGCTCCACGCCCTCCCTGCCGCCTCTCTGGTCCAGTTTCCTTCTTCTCCCCAACGGCTCGTCCCTCCCCACGCTCTTGCCCTCGCGTCAGTTACGTCTCAACCGACGCGATGGAGCCAATGTGTTCTTGTTGTTTCTACCATCGGCGGTGGCGCGTTCAGTTGTCCCGGGGTTGTTCTACAGCAGCCACGTGGCTGTTCATGGCTTGGCCGGGATTCTCACATTTCGCTTCAAGACCGCGGCGGCGGGGGTTGGTGGTTCAGCTTCTCACCGAACCGTACAGTTTTCTTACCTCCGGTTACAAGATTTCGTTTACCTCGCGAGAATTCCAGAGATTTTGCCGGCTAACCGTACCAATAACCATTCCTCTCCTGTTAACTGCACCGTTCTTCTTCTCTGGTACCGACAGATCATGTCTCTCCGGTTAACCGCACCGTTGTTTCTCCCCCGGTGCCAACAGACTCAGTAACCACACATATCATGTCTCGCGGTTCTTAAGCACACCGTTGTTTCTCCTAGAGTTAATCATTCCACGGTCTCTCCATGGCCGAATCCTTCAGATTCTCTCCAGCTCCGGTACCAGGTCTTGATGCTAACGGTGCGCCGAAATTGCGGAAAAATGGTGATGTGGCGACAGGAATTTCAAGTGAATTTGTGTGTCCCGGGAGGAGTGGAGAACCAGACAGAGTGGTAAAGTGAGGATGTTGTACGTGGAGAAATGTGAGGCGTTGGATGAAGTGTGATGATGATGTGGTGTTGCAATGTTGATATTGGCGTGAAATCAAGTGATCGTTTTTGTTGACTTGAATGAAATATTAACTTTGGCAATTTTATTGCATAATTTGCTTTGGCCACTCCTTATTCTATGATTGATTTGTCATTTTTATTGTAATTTATTTTGCAGTTAATTTTAGATGGCAAAAACGGCAGATCATGGTACCATACTTTGAACCAAAACTTACACTATTTGATTTATTTTGTATAAAATAATTATCGAGAAAAGTAAGAATTGTATAATACAGTAATTTTGGGATATAATTTTTAATTTCATAAACTAATATTTAATTTGAAACTTTAGGCTTAGTAACTAATCTTACCAATTGAAAGTAATCACAAAAAAACTAAATTCATGTTTGGGAAAATTTTGAGTAATTACGATATTGTTTGATCCAAACATGACCTTCAATTTTAAGTAACAAAAGTAAAAAATTTTACCTTATGGCCTGTTATAACAAACTTGATTGGTCAGAAAAATTCGTAAGACCCCTGCTAGGATTTACACAGTAGAAACTAATATTTCTTACTTCTCATTCACAAAAGTTGTAACTGTACCAATCTTTTCCTAGGTACTCACTTGTCAGCCTGAATTAGAGATTAATCAGCATCAAAACCTCCATCAAACGCATCACCATCTCCGTCTCCATAGTCATTATCATCGCTTGCCCTCGTTCAGCGTCTCCCGGATACTAAAGAGCGCATTAGTTTCATTATCGTGTTGCCTATCAACATCCATCGGTTGGGCTCCCTATTTCTACCTCGGCTTTGGCTTCATAGACTCCAAATTTCATCACTGAAAACGAAATATATGGCTTCGAGACCTGTAAGAGCAACTTTTTTAGTCAAGACTACAGTTAATGTTATTTTCCTTCAGCATGAATAAGATGGACTTAGGTCCAATAGAACGATGAAATAATTAAGGCAAAGGTCATGTTAATAGAACATGTCAGTAACCATTAAACTGAATTGTGATTACTTGCACTAGATGAAAATGACAGCCAAGAAACATACACTATTCACCTTAATAGATTGTCTCGCTTTTCAGCACTATCACTAGGTTCTTCCAGTGCTCATCATGCTTCAGCGTCGATGCAGAACCTACCACCTGAAGAAGCAACCGAGGTTTGCGAATCAGAAAAGGTTAACTTCATGTTGCCAAAATGCCATGTCTAAATACTTTCCTTGCTATGAAGCCATACCAGTATAGAAGACTTTGCTCTGGTAATCCCAACATTTATCCGACGAAAATACACAAATCCTATGCTTTTATTTCATTTGCCCAACACATGAAAAGATTGCTACGTTTCTCCCGTCCCTGAGAAAAGGTAAAAGAAGTTTAAATGCTTACCAAACTGAGATATCAGTATAAAATGCACAATCAGTAAATGATATCCTAAAAAATTAGCCCCAGTGACAGGCTGATTCATGGTTTTGTGATAAAAAAGGCGGGATGGGGTGAACAAATCTCTGACGTTTTAGGAGGAGTATAAACTTCCAAAATAGTAATACTATTATTTATATGAATATTTGAAACTTTTAATATGTATTTCTTTCCAACATTCTTTTAATATGTATTTCTTTCCAACATACCAGCAACACAGAGGTCTTAAAACAAGCTGAATTGTATCAAATTCTTCCAGGTGGAAAAACATGCAATAATTTTGAAATCAAGGTCATCTGTCTCACTCTCTCACGCACAAATAATTCACTTTTTTTAGTATGGTCAATAGTGACGCAGGAGCATCCAAGTTAAATTAGGATTTTAGTTAAATTAGGAAAGGGTTTCAGTTTTAGTTAAACTAGGAAAGAATTTCAGTTATTTTCTCAGTTTTCCTTTTTATTTAGGATTTCTATTTAATAAGAAATTGGGGATAGTTTTCAGTCTAGAATTAAGATTTGTCCTAACTATTATAAATAGGACAACATAGTCAATTTATTGTATCTTTTCTTTAATTCAAAGGTTTTTTTGTAAACCTGGTTAATTTCTATTGTTCCAACCACAATCACCCTATTCTAGCCCTAATTGTTGAAGATCTAATTGCCCTACAACTCTTCCGCTACGTTAAGTGGTATCAGAGCACACAAATCCTAATCTAGGATTTCTTTCTGCTCCTAAACTATGGCTGGTCGAGGTAGAGGCAATCAGTCCCAACAAACTGAGTTGGCTGAGATGCAGAGGATGATTGAGGACTTGACCCGGGCTATACAAGCCTTGTAGTGTCAAGAACTTGTGAAAACCTGAACGGAGAATCCAGAAGGTGGCCACGAACAACTCGAGAGTCAAGAAGATCTTGAGACTGAAGAGGAAATTGAGGACGTGAACCCTTTTCATGAAGTTGGACCCGCAAATCGAGCGGCACGAAGTGGACTAGAAGAGAGGTTATTACACACTCTTGATTTGAATGGTGGAGGAGTAAAGATTGAAGTAGCTGATTTTCATGGAAAGTTACATACAGAGGATTATTTGGTTTTTGAAGCTAGTTTGGAGAATTACTTTGAATGGAAACCCATGGCTGAAAATAGAAAGGTACTATTTGTAAAGCTTAAGTTGAAGGGTACTGCACTTCAATGGTGGAAGAGAGTTGAAAAGCAACGTGCACAACAAGGCAAGCTTAAAATCAGTACTTGGCAGCACATGAAAACTAAGCTATGGAAGCAATTTTTACCTGCTGATTATACAATGGAATTGTATGAGGGGCTCCATTGTTTGAAGCAAAACAACATGTCAGTTGAGGAGTACTTTGCGGAGTTTAATAACTTATCAATTCCAGTTGGCTTATCTAAAAGTAATGAACAAATTACTTCTCACTACCTTGCTGGTTTGAATCAATCTATTAGAGGCGAGATGGGAGTAGTTTGTTTATACAATATTGAGGATGCTCAACAATACACTTTAGCAGCTGAAAAGCGAGTTTCGGGCTATGGTGCGAGAAAACCCATATATAGAACCAATTGGCAAAACAATTTGGGACCTAGACGTGGGTATCAAACAGGCCAACGGGAGTGGAAAGAGACAACTACAACAAATAAAACCAACAGGGGTGCAACCAATGTTGAAATGAGTGATAAAGGGAAAAGTATCGTACCTTATAAGGCACAAAATAATTCTGGTTCATCTGCAGCAAAAGGAGGCAACAATTTTCAGGTCCGATGTTTTACTTGTGGAGAGAAGGGACATACTTCATTCGCTTGTCCACAAAGGAGGGTGAATTTAGTTGAGTTTGAGGAAGAGTTAGAGCTAGTTTTTGATGAACATGATGAGGAGATAGAGGAAATTGATGTTCATGCGGCTGAAAGTGAGTCTTTGGTGGTACAAAAGGTGATGACAACAACAATAAAAGATGAAAAGGAAGACTAAAGGAGGCATAGCATTTTCCGTACACGTGTTGTCTGTGGAGGTAAAGTTTGTGATCTTGTCATTGATGCAGGAAGCATGGAAAATATAATATCTAAGGAGGCTGTGGACAAATTAAAGCTTCCTACAATAACACATCCTCATCCATAAAAAGTGGGTTGGTTAAAGAAGGGGCATGAGATACCGGTAACTTCTCAATGTTTGGTGAAATTCACCATGGGAGGTAACTTGGATAATGAAGCTTTATGTGACATTGTACCAATGGATGTGGGGCATATTCTTGTTGGAAGACCTTGGTTGTTTGATCATGATATGGATCATAAGACAAAGCCTAATACTTACTCCTTCTACAAGGATAACAAGAGGTACACTTTGTATCATCTCAAAGAAAAGGCAAAGCAATTGGCAACTAAGAGTTCTACAACCAGCAAAACAACTAGGTATTTGAGTGTCGAAAAGTTTAATGCTGAGCATGGTGAGATGGGGATCATGTAAGCTTTAATAAACAAAATTGTGGAGAGTGACCAGGTTGGAAAATCACCCCAATATCCCATTGAAATCCGACAATTATTGAAGGAATACGAAGAGCTAGGCAGTGAGGATGTGCCAAAAAGTTTACCACCTTTAAGAAGCATCCAACATGCTATTGATTTGGTACCAGGAGCATCTTTACCCAATTTGCCTGCATATAGAATGTCTCCTATGCAGCGAGCTACGATAGAAAGACAGGTCAGAGAGTTATTAGAGAAGGGTTTGGTGTGTGAAAGTAAAGAGTCCTTGCGCTTGCCCAGCTTTATCAGCCCCGAAGAAAGACGGTTCATGGAGAATGTGTGTGGACGATCGTGCTATAAATAAGATTACAATCAAATATCACTCCTATTCCTCAATTGGAAGATATGCTTGATCAACTAGCTGATTCCAAGGTGTTTTTCAAGATTGATTTGAAGAGTGGGTATCACCAAATTAGAATGAGGTGCGGAGATGAATGGAAGACAGCTTTTAAGACACCAAAAGGGTTATTTAAATGGTTAGTGATGCCATTTGGCCTTTCAAATGCGCCAAGCACATTCATGAGGGTTATGACGGAGGTACTTAAGCCTTTCTTGAATTCTTTTGTTGTAGTGTACTTTGATGATATTTTGATCTATAACTGCACTAAGGAAGAACATTTAAAACACTTGCGACAAGTGTTGGAAGTACTTCAAAGGGAACAATTGTATGTAAACTTAAAAAAAAAATGCAGCTTCCTACAGTTAGAAGTAGTATTTCTTGGGTTCATTGTGTCGGTAGAAGGTTTAAAACCAGATCCAGAAAAGGTTCGTGCAATTACCGAATGGCCAGCTCCTCAATCCATTAAAGAAGTTCAAAGTTTTCAAGGTTTGACATCTTTTTATAGGAGGTTCATTAGGAATTTCAGCTCTATTATGAATCCTATAACTGAATCTATGAAAAAAGGTGAATTTGAGTGGTCCCATTCTGCACAAAAAGTCTTTGAGTGAAAGTGTCAATGACTGAAGCTACAGTTCTTGCACTACTAGATTTTGAAAAGTTATTTCTTGTTGAATATGATGCTTCACATGTGGGAATTGGAGCAATTCTTAGCCAAGATGGAAAGCCTCTAGAGTTTCTCAATGAGAAGTTGTCGAATTCTAGGAGACGTTATTCGACTTTTGAACTAGAGTTCTACGCTTTGGTAAGATCTATTCATCATTGGCAATACTATTTAGCTTACAGAGAGTTTGTGGTTTATTCTGACCATCAAGCTTTTAGGTATTTACAATCTCAGAAAAAGCTTAATGATTGACATGTTAGGTGGAGTTCTTTCCTCGATGAATTTAATTTCTCGTTGAAGTATAAGTCTGGACAGTCTAATATTGTGGCTGATGCCTTAAGTAGGCGATATTTACTATTGTTAGTTATAAGCACTCAAGTAACAGGCTTTGAGGAACTAAAGAATCAATATGGTTCTAATCCTTATTTCAGTAAGATAATAGCTGATTTGCAAGGTTCCTTACAAGCTGAAAAATTGCCGTATAGATTGCATGAAGATTATTTGTTCAAAGGTAACCAATTATGCAGTCTAGAAGGGTCTTTAAGGGAACAAATTATTAGAGAACTTCATGGAAATGGTTTGGGAGGACATTTCGACAGAGACAAAACTTTCGCAATGGTTGCCAACCATTACTATTGGCCAAAAATGCAAAGAGATGTGGAGAAACTAGTGAAGAGATGCCTAGCTTGTTTATTAGGCAAAGGAAGTGCTCAAAACACAAGTTTATATACTCCTTTATCTGAACCAGATGCACCATGGATTCATTTGAGTATGGATTTTGTTCTAGGACTTCCAAAGACAGCAAAAGGACTTGATTCTATCTTTGTTGTGGTAGATCGTTTCTCAAAAATGGCACACTTTATTCCATGTTCTAAAACCTCTAATGCAACTCATATTGCTGAGTTATTCTTTCAAGAGGTTGTAAGACTACAAGGCGTTCCAACTTCTATTGTCTCTGACAGAGACGTAAAGTTTATGGGGCATTTTTGGAGGACTTTATGGAGGAAATTTGGGACAGAATTGAAGTATTCTTGTACCTACCACCCACAAACAGATCGGAAGTTGTAAATCATAGTTTGGGAAATCTATTAAGATGCCTTATTGGGAACAACGCAAAGACTTGGGAATTAGTCATACCTCAAGCTGAATTTGCCTATAACAATTCTGTCAATAGAAGCACAAAGAAGACACCTTTTGAGGCTGCTTATGGGTTGAAGCCTCAACATGTGCTGGATTTGGTCCCTTTGCCACAAGAAGCCAGAGTAAGTGATGAAGGGGAAGCATTTACTGATCACATTCAAAAAATTCATGAAGAGGTAAGAGTTGCCCTAAAAGCTAGTAATGCAGCATACTCTTTTTCTGCCAATCAATATCATCGTATGCAAGAATTTGAAGAAGGTGATCAAGTTCTTGTGCATCTGAGACAAGAACGATTTCCTAAAGGAACTTACCACAAGCTGAAATCTAAGAAGTTTGGACTCTGTAAGGTGTTGAGGAAAATCAGTTCAAATGCCTACTTAGTTGAACTTCAACCTAAGATACAAATTAGTCTGGTCTTTAATCTTTCGAACTTGTTTCCTTTTTATGGATTCGATGGTGTTCTTTCTTTGATTGAAGCTCAAATTCAGCAGCTGCTAGTTGCAAAGGCTGATGTTATTTAAGAAGTGTTAGATGTCAAGGAAATTCGATCTAGACGAGACAACCCATATAGACGATCCTTGGTAAAGTGGCTTGGTAAACCAGCAAGTGAAAGCACATGAATTTCTGAAGAAGAGCTGAAACGAGTTGATCCAACCGTATTTGAGGAATATGTCAAGGCTTACTTGTTGGAGCCGAGTTCTTTTCTAACCCGAGGAGAATGATGCAGGAGCATCTAAGTTAAATTAGGATTTTAGTTAAATTAGGAAAGGGTTTCAGTTTTAGTTAAACTAGGAAAGAATTTCAGTTATTTTCTTAGTTTTCCTTTTTATTTAGGATTCATATTTAATAAGAAATTGGGAATAGTTTTCAGTCTAGAATTAAGATCTGTCCTAACTAGTATAAATAGGACAACATAGTCAATTTATTGTATCTTTTCTTTAATTCAGAATTTTAATTCAAAGGTTTTCTTTAAAACCTGGTTAATTTCTATTGTTCCAACCACAAGCACCCTGTATTCTTGCCCTAATTGTTGAAGATCTAATTGTCCTACAACTCTTCTGCTACGTCAAATAGTTAACAAAAACAAATTCTGATGTACAGAAAGGAAGAAAGAGCCTTATTACCTGGCAGCCATCAACTGTGGTTATATCAACTACCTTCTGTGACTCCACACCAAAAGTTTCCTTGAATCGTTCTTGGAATTGCTTCACTTGATACCGATAGGGGGATATAATGGCCAGCTGAGAACTTGACTTAAGCTGAGGAAACATACTCACCAGCTTATGATAGAGGAGGAGAACAAAATCAACCTCATCATAATTTACCCAAGATCCACTTCCAGAGGGTTGGGACTCTTTCCCTCCCTGTATGTCAAAGAAGCAAAATGGTCCAAAGCAGCGGTATTTGTGCCAGTCACGAGATGTATAATCCTCAATACCAGACCCATCTTCCAATGCCTCGTCATAGAACTCCCTCGAAGGAAAACTTCGTATCTGTAAATTTGGATAGATTAACAAAAAAGTTAACTACTTAGGAATAATGGTCATAGTCTTACAGATTATAGTTTTGACTAGTTAGGTTTGGGTTTAGTTTCACTACAATGATAGTTAATATTTGAAACTTGGTTAACTATAAGAATCAATTTACAAAGTTCTGTTAGGCATTTCAGATCTAACCTCTGGATGCATTCTGTACTGGGTCTTCAGCATCTTTACGGGATAACCAGCCCTTTGAAGTCTCTCAAACAAACTCGTGCCATATCTTTAATTAAAGGACAGGTAAGAGAGAGTGAGATAAAGTAGTTGCATAAAAAAGAGTAAGCTACAAAACGATCAATCATTGTCATCATCAAAGTGTTTTACCCCAAACTCTCCGCAATAGGAGAAATTACAGTGGCTGGCAATTGAACTGGATCACCAACCTAAGTCATATGACAACAAGAAGATAACATAATCAATCATGAACTTGAACATCAACTGCACGTGCAGTGGTACATATGAGAATGAGTTCAACAATGCACAATAATTGCATGTTTTGAACCAGCAGCAGCATATGTTGAGCATTGATTAAGATAATGTGATGAAATCCAATAGTTCAATAAGATAATCGATTCTGATAACCCAAAAAAATGACAATTTTTATAAAAGAATCATCATTAGAAACATACCAGAAATACTTGTTTGCATCCAGTTGCCAAAGGAACAAGAGTTGCAGGTTCAACCTGACAATGCAAAATGGTAATATGCTGAGAAATTCACAATCATTTTGAGGCTCTAAACATACATGCAAACAAATGTATACTTTCCACAGCACACCAAATGACACTAATGTAAAGTAGAAGTGACTACAAAGTAGAGAATACCTTAAATACAAATCGCCATACTTTAAATATTGAAATAAAAGTACACTATTTAATAATGTCAACAAAATCTGGTTTAACAAATTTTAGAAAAACAGAAAAATGAACAAGGATTTATGACAACAAAGCCAATTTCACACTTGTCTAATGATTTAAGTCTCAGCACTACTTTAGAATAATTTGAATTGTCAGTGTTAGATGGATTATCTGATTATAGATAGTATAGTAAGTTCAGAAGACCCATTTCCATTGACAAATATCATTAAGGAAAAAAGCTACTCTGAATCAGACTAAAGGAGAAGACAAATTCTATGCGGCAGAGTTAAGAACAAGACAAGTAAATAACACTTGCCTCATTCAACTAAAAGGAAGACTACAGTGGAAACAAATCACACAGAAAAATGCCAAAGTATAAAATCTGAGCCAACCTTAGTCATAAATATGGGCCTCTAGCTAGTCTATCCCATTTACCATCAGCTAAAATTCTGGACAGGAATAATGATTTGAGGACCTTACCAACCAAAAACTTGCTTTTCTTATTTAGCCTACACACAATCAATGAACTAATCAGCAATCTAAAAAAATCATCAATATGATAGAGCCAAAGATGAACCCTGATTTCTCAATGATAATTTAACCATGTTAGCTCACACTTCAACTGGACAATATGTAAATTTATCCCCCTTTAGTTTGCTCTGATCCCAAGATCAGTTCTCAAACACCTTACTTTTTGAGTATGTCTGATAGGAACTCACTCCAATAACTCAACAATTTGAGCTGGGTCATGGGCCTTTCATGAGCTTGGGTAGAACTCTCCTTGGAAAACCGGCTTGCCAAGGGAGGGTGCCCAAGCCTTTATAACCCACATGCCCACCCTTTTCCTTTTCAATGTGAGATCCTAACATTCCACCACGCTTCCGCAACCGATGTCCACATCGACCTCTTTACCCCTTGGGTGACTACGCGGATTCCCTTTCCCTCGGGCCTCCATGCCCTTTCTCAGGCTAGCAGCCCGGGCCCAAGGTCAGCTTGCCACAGGTCAGCCTACCACGTGTGCGCTGCCACATAGGTGTAGGATCATACTCTGATACCAATTGATAGGAAACCACTCCAATAACTCAATAATTTGGGCTGGGTCATGGGTCTTTCATGGGCTTTGGTAGAACTCTCCTTGGAAAACTGGCTTGCCAAGGGAGGGTGTCCAAGCTTTTATAACCCACATGCCCACCATTTTCTCTTTCAATGTGGGATCCTAACAATGTCAAAAGAACTTAAATGAACAATATCTAACTGAACCATAGTGTAAAATGTTTAAGCAATCTCGAGTGTTTTAACATTTCTCTAGGTCTAAAAATTCCCACACCAAGAAGCCAAGAAGTAAACTTGAGGAATGTTACAATTTAAGCAAATCTCATCGCAATGGTAAACTTGAAATGTTAAAACTTAAGCAAATCTCATCACAATGATAATTTTATGTACTAAAATTTGACCCATTCATGAGTGCAGTCTTCTGCATTTTTATGATAGTTGATTTTATTCTGACTGGAACATCACCAGCATAAGCATTTATAGTATCAACCTTCAAAATCAGCTTTTTCTTAAAAAACTAAAAGTGAATGCCAATTCGACTTCCCATTTACCATTAAATAAACACTATAATACCATTATGTACGAGTTCTTCAATGTCTTCAACAACAAGAACAATGAAGTGAAGCTGCAGATAAAGGTTTTTGTATGGCATACAATCTACAAACACCTTGATCATTATTCAATCTAATTATATGGATTTATAATAGATACCGCCTACTAATTTTTTATTGTCGGGTAACTTGTAATCTTTAATTCTAATACACTGTCCAGTCAATACAAATTAAGAATTAACACTTCTATCATCTTGTCCAACACCTAAGGAAATCCTAAGCCAAGAGAACTTTTCTTGAATTTAAGTTACAACTGTATCCATAAATACCACAAAAACAGAATAAAATAAGCCCGTCATATAGACAAAAAAAAGGGGGAAAGGGGGTGGGTGGAGGAGAGGAAATCTTAAGCAAAACTTAAGGCCTTTCACATTTTATCATAAATTTTGTCAAGGATTCTGATTCCTCATCTTGTTTCAAAGAAAAATTCTTACCTTCATATTTCAATGAACAATAAAGAAGTTTAGATTGAACTTTCAAACTAAAGTTCTAGCCATCAGAATATCAATTGATAGCAAATCAATGAAATTAGATGAATTTGAGGCACTCACAGTTTAGTGTCTGATGAGACCCCTAACATGCTGGTATATGGTAGGAGACATAAGGGCGTGAAGTAGAGGATTGTAGGTAGCTGGCAGGAAAGTCCTTTGTGTGTGTGTTGTTAAGGTTTGTTTTAGAAGGGATAGTTGGCATTAGGAGAATGGGTAAATGAGGGATTTTGTTATGGAGAGACACACCAGTAGAATAAAAGAGAGTGACAGGGAGTATTGAGGAGATATCCAGAAAAGTAAAAAGGGGGAATTAGGGGAAGTGCTGGCCCTCAAAGTCCAGCAGGCTTTTGTTATTTCTTTTGTCCTGTTATCCTTGTTTTCATTTGGCTGTGTTGACTAGCTTCGGCTGTTCATACTTGGTGTAGTGTTTGATCCATATCAATATATAGATAGTTTCTGTTTTCCTAAGTTACTGTTGCGTTCTTGCTGTTTTTCTGGGTTATTGCTTGTTTTGGTTGTTGTTGTTTGAAAGGTTGAAATGGGTTCCTCTCAATTGGTTTTAGAGCAGGATTGATTTGGGGAATGGTTGGTACAAGAATGGAGACAAAGTGTAAAATGTTGAGAGAGAGTTAGGGACCATCAGAGAATGTTTAATGGAGATGCAAGTTTGGATAAGACGTAAAGACGAGGAGGAGGCCAAAAAGGGAGAGAGAGATTGTTCGACAGAGGCACCTGGAAATAACAAACCAAACTAGAAGGGCCTGAATAGGAATGGGAACTCCATTAATCCAAAATGTAATTGACCAGAGATAGGTGGCAAGAAATTGGAGATACTAATTTTTTCGGGGAATGACCCATATGGGTGGTTGTTCAAAGTAGAAAGATACTTCAACGTGTATCGAATTGCAGAGTCGGAGAGACTCGCAGCGATGGCTATATGCATAGACGGCACTAGTATCAATGGATGTAGGTGAGGGCACCGGTGACAACCTAGTGTGCTTTTAAACTTGCTCTCCTTCATCGGTTCAGTGGATCATAGGAGGGTGGTCCATACAAGGCTTTAATGAGGATCCAGCAAACTATTATGATGGAGGAGTGTTACCAGAAATTTGAAGCAATATTTGCTCCGTTGAGTGAAGAAAGGGAAGATATACTATGGGCTGCTTTTGTAAATGGACTGCAGCCTAAAATTAAAGTTGAAGTGAGGTTGGGCCAACCCAACTCCTTAGTACAACTAATTGAGCTGACTCAAAAGATAGAAGACAAAAATTGGGCTCTAGAGGAATTAAGAATGGAACCTAATAGATAGGGGAGAGCAACTGGGTTTAATGGATTGGGTAGAGGATTTAATGGATTGGGTAGAGGGTTTAATTCTAATGGGATTGGGCCGGGTTGAGTTAACAAGTTAATGGAAAGTGGGTGCGGGTTCCAGCAAATTTGCGCCAATTTACAAACACTTTCAAATCATCTTCAATCAATGATCAATCAAGGCATTCCAACAATTTCTCGCCAACGTGCCGAATGTGGGATGAACAGCCATCAAGTGCCGCTCCGACCACCAGTCAACAGAGCAACAATACAACTGTGCAGCAACCCTCAAATTCCAACCCGATCTTTCGGCAAAATCTTCCCTTCAAGCAAATGACGAAGAGTGAGATCTAGAAGAAGAGGGAATGAGGATTGTGTTTCAGGCGCGATGCTAAGTTTTTTCCTGGTCATCGGTGTGGTGACAAGCACTTTCAGATCATACTTGTTGATGAAGATGACGAAGAAGTTGAGCTCGATGGTGGAGGGGATGTGAGTGAAGCTACGAAAGGGCATTCGCCAAATGTCATCAAGCTCTCTCTCAGTTCAGTGGTGGGGATAAATGGACCAAAAACCATGAAGCTAAAATAGGGTATACAAGGTGAGGAAGTGATTGTATTGATTGACAGTGGAGCGTCACATAATTTCATTAGTAAGGAGATGATAGCGAAGTTAGGTATTCCTACTGTCAAGACCCAATCATTTGGGGTTAGGGTAGGAGACAAATATAGAGAGAGGAGTGAGGGTGAATGTCGTGGGGTAAGTCTAAAGCTTCAAGGGGTTTCGATTATCCAAAACTTCTTTCCCTTCGACATGTGCAATGCAAATGTAGTGATGGGTATAGCCTGGTTGGAGACTTTGGGTGAGACCAGTGTCGATTGGAAGACACAAGTAATGAAGTTCAAAATAGGAGGGAAAATGGTAAGGCTTTGCGGTGATCCGTCTCTCAGCAAAACCATGGTATCCTTGAAGGCAATGATTAAGACAATACAGAGGGAAGGGCAGGGATATCTTGTTAAGTTTGAGCATATACAAAAGCAACCAGAGGATGAAAGGGGAATGGATAATAGGCTACAAGTAGTGTTAGATCAGTTTTTTTTTTTTCTATTTCTATTAGCTTAGAGTGAGTTAAAACACCTTCAAATAACTTCAAACCATAACAATATTTAAATCAGCAGCAACTTCTCCTCATATGAGCTAAATCAGCAACACAACAACAAGCAAAGAAACACACAAGTAACACACAACGCCAAATAATCCAAGGCCTAAAGAAAATCCACCAGCCAAAGAATCCACCACCAACCTTTGACAAAGATTGGATAAAGGAAGAACAAGCAACTCTCCAACAGTAAAGTTTTCATTCAAAGTCTCACTCTTATACAATGGAGAATCCGGCCTTATATATGGTCTTACAAAATATCTAAACAAAATGTAATCTAAACCTTGCAAGTGGCATCCCACTTGACAAAACACAATCTAAGCCTTACATGTGGCAGCCAAGATTAATACAAGTCAAAGATAATCATAACAATACTTATAACATTAATAGAACAAATAAAAAGGCTACTCTAATAAGTCTTCAAGCTAGACAAGCTTGATTTCTTCAAAATCTTGGAGTTTCCAAAAGGGGAGAGGAACATGTAGCCGCTAAGAGGAGACAACATTGTCTTTGCCTAAAATGGAAAGCTTGAGCCACCCTTGAATTTGCTTTGTCTCCTTTGATTTGATTGCACCCATGTGCTAAAGTTGGCCCTTCTTTGCAACTTCCCTCCCAACTAAATTATTTGAACCCCACAAAACCAAGTTATACCCCAAAGTTGGATTTGGGCTCAGAAACTCTCCAATTAAAGGAGTGGGCAGATTGGGCTTGAATTGGACTTCCAAAACCCATCTTGTATAACTTCTTCTCCTTTGGCCAATCCCTTGAACATTCCTTGCTTCAATTCCCCATTTTGGGCTGATCCATTGGACTTCCAAAGAAGCTTGGTGGCTTGTTTCTCATCATCCTCCCCGGGTTGAAGAGGATTTGACCCCAAATCCACAATGTTGTCATCTTCCAAGTATGGGGTCAAATCACCAACGTTGAATGTGGCCAAAACACCTCCAAAATTGCTTGGCAAGTCTATCTTGTAAGCATTATCCCCAATTTGTTCAAGAACCCCTAATAGGCCATTGGCTTTAGGTGCAAGCTTACTCTTTCTCTTGGATGGAAACCTCTAACACTTCACACCATCCACAAACTAATGGACAAATCGAAGTCACCAACCACACTTTGGGAACTTTATTGAGAACTTTGGTGAGCAAAAATTTGAAGGGTTGGGAAGTGAAATTAGCCCATGCCAAGTTTGCTTACAATAAGGCTCCAAGCACTACAACCAGGCACTCTCCATTTGAGGTATTGTATGGTATCAACCATATCACTCCTATTGAATTGAGTTCATTGCCTATTGATGTCCAACTGAGTGTTGATGCCAAAGATAAAGCTAAGGTCATGAAGAAGCTACACGAGTCCATTTAGGCTCAAATTGAGAAGTCTAATGAGGCTTACAAGAAGAGGCTCAACAAGCATAAGAAACTAGCCCATTTCCAACCAGGCGACCTAGTGTGGGTTCACTTGAGGAATGAGAAGTTTTCATCCAAAAGAAAGAGTAAGATTGCCCCAAGAGCCGATGACCAATTTGAAATACTTGAGAAAATTGGAGATAATGGCTACAAAATAGATTTGCTAAGTGATTTTGGAAGTGTCTCGACCACATCCAATATTGGTGATTTGTCCCCATATTTAGAAGACAACAACATTGTAGATTTGAGGTCAAATCCTCTTCAACCCAAGGAGGATGATGCAAATTTGCCAACTAATCTTCATATAGATCAAGAGAAAGCTAAGGGAAAAACCATCCAAGCAATTGAAGACCATTCGGCCCAAGTTAAAGATGTAAAACAAGACAATTGCAAAGGTTCGGCCCAAGAAGGAAAAACTATGCAAGATGAGTTTACTTGGTCCAAGACAAGTCCAATCCATTCCTTAGGCCCAATTTCATCATTTAGGTGTAATTTGCTTTTAAGGGAACTAAAGTATTCCATTTGGGAGGGAAAACTCAATTTGTGTTCAAACATAATCACATGGGAGCATTTAATTATGGAGACAAGGTTATGACAAAGGTGGCTCTATATTTCCATTTTTGACAAAGACAAGGCTGTCTCCTCTTGGCGGCTCATTGTCCCTTTCCTCTTTAGGAAAGTCAAGGAATATTGATGATTCCTATTTTGTTTAGTTTAATGAATACTAGAATAGCCTTTTCCCTTTCCAATGTAATCTTGTTAATTGTATTTGACTTGTATTAAGCTTGGCCACCACATGTAAGGATATGATTATGTTATGTTTTGCTTAGATGTCTTTTGAAAGGCCTATATTTCATCTTGTTTAAGCATCATTTTGTAAGGCCATATATAAGGCGAATTCTCCATTGCTGGATATTTTGAAGTATTTCATAATGGGACTTCTAAACGCCTACAATGTTGACACAATCCTTGTGGGGGTGGATCGCTTAACCAAGTACAGCCACTTCCTGACTCCAAAACACCCCTATACAGCAAAGGAAGTAGTCGCATTGTTTGTTAAAGAGATTGCAAGGCTGGATGGTTTCTCTTGCACCATCATTTCAGACCGCGATCGGATGTTTATGAGTAATTTTGGGGGAGAGTTATTTAAGCAATCGAGGACACAACTCCACATGAGCTCGACTTACCATCCACAAAAGGATGGTCAACCCAGAGGTAGTGAACCGATGTTTGGATGTAGTCAATAGAAGGTAGTGAAACATGAGCTTTGTTGTGTTGATTAGCTTCGACTGTTCATACTTGATGTAGTGTTTGATCCATATCAATATATAGATATTTTCTGTTTTCTTGAGTTAATGTTGTGTTCTTGCTGTTTTTCTAGGTTATTACTTGTTTTGGTTGTTGTTGGCTTGTTGTTTGAAAGGTTTGAATGGGTTCCAATCAATGTCACGTTCGACTCAAACCCAATTCTGTACAAGGCTCAATATCCAATTCAAGAGGCTTGAGCTAGAATTGACCTAAAAACATCAAAAAATATGCTAGAGAATCTTTCTAGAAGCTTCCAAAACGTTCATTTACCAAAAAGACAGCAGAATAAGACTAGCATTCTATTGTTTTTATAATTAATCCTAACCATCCATCTTAATGGATATGTATGGATTTAGACCATCAGATCTACTTGTAAACTCTTATATAAAGCTAACTAGTTTTAGGTTATTTTCATATTTCAAGCATTATATTCAATTAAGAGCAATACAAAGGAGTTTTTCTCTTCATCTATGTTCTTCATGTTCTTTGTGTTTTTCATGTTACTCTTATTTTTCTTTGAGAAGTTTGTGGGTTATTTAAGCTTATTTAGTGTCTGATCTCTTGTTTGTGCACTAAAGTCTGCACAATCTTCTAAGGGTTGTATAGACAAAAAAAAAAAATTTAAAAAGGAAATCTTAAGGCCTTTCGCATTTTATTATAAAATTTGTAAAGGATTCTGATTCTTCCTCATCTTGTTTCAAAGAGAAATTCCACCTTCATATTTCAATGAACCATAAAGAAGTTTGGATTGAACTTTCAGACTATAGTTCTAGCCATCAGAACATCAATTGATAGCAAATCAATGAAATTAGATGAATTTGATGCACTCACAGCTTGGGCAGCTTCATCTATTATAACAACATCAAAACCATGATTCAATTTGCTGAGGAGAGCTGAACCGCTGAAGCTAAGGGTAGAGCAGACCTACCAATACTACAAAATTAAAAATGAAATTCAAATATGCTGAATTTAACTTTTAACACAAGGCTAAAATTACATACAATCACAGCCTCATTCAGAATTGCAGAACGGATACTATCCCTATCCTTTCTTGTGGATCCATGTTTCTGTTTATCAGTAGCAGAGTCATCACGTTTTTGTTCCACCTGCAAAGGAGAATCTCTCATGTCAATCTTGACTAATGTATAATAAGGTTTGATAAACTACTATAAGTTAATCTACCAAAAATCAATGGAAACCCTGTCAAGTTTAAATTAACAAGCATCATATTGTGTCTCCATACTGTAAATCAACAACAATTGACCACAAATACATTCTCTATTCTGGTCAGCAAAGTTGTCAAAATCCTTTATTACTAACTTTCAAGCTCAGCCTTCTTATGATTTTGATGTTCTAAGCTATCCCCTAAATTAAATTTTGATTTTTCTACCCTTGTCAACCCGGATTATGAAGGCATTTAGTATTCACGTATAAGCTTATCAGTTACCAGCCAGGGTTAGAACTGCTTGCTTTGTGAAGATTTCAGCCTCAGATGATGAAGCTAGGCTCAAAAGAAAATTGACTCTGATTTTAAACAAAATAACTCTTTCAAGGTAGTGTACAATCTATGAATGATAGTAAAAGTTGGTTACTAGAATACAGAAATACAAAATGACTTAAGAGATACCATTGGGTGGTTTAACAACCACAAAATCACACTTTTTAAATGGCACAATCCCCGATCTTGAAAATGGGCTTCCTTGCAAACAGGGAGTGATGGTGAGAGACCAATTTACCAGGTCTTTGTTTGAAAAATAAAAGCCACGGTTTGGTACCTTTCTATTTCGTTTTAGACAATAAAAATTGACAATGATGATATAATTATAACAATAACAATGACACCTAAACTATCAACAAAACAAGTTCAGTTTGGTTGCAAAACTGTCAGACACATACCAGGTGATCCATGGAGACTGAATTGACAGAATGATGTGCTTTGAGACCAATCCGCACGATTTTAGGAGTATATGAGCGAACATTTTCATCTCGAACCCCTGAGGAAAAAAAAAAAAACATTAAATATTACATCAGCTATAACAGTTGAATACCAGAATATATCTACTTAACAAAAAAACACTATTTCCACATTTTTCAATATGACTTTTTCAGCCACCTAGTATCTGCTTTGTAACAGCTTTTCCATAAAAGTAGCCAAATTGTTGCGTACTTCTCTAAACTAAAATCTACCAAGTGCAGTTACTCATGATTCATCTAAGCAGTCAAAAGTTCATTTATTTATTATCTGAATTTTCAAAAAAATTTCCCCCCAAAATGAACAAAGCTAACAAGAGAAAAGCAAGCATGAAAATGTGAGGGAAATTTTACCAGTATTTAGAAGGCGTAGTACAATTTCATCAAGTGCAGAGTTTGATGGGGCACATACCAGCACCCGTACACGATATTTGCGACTAGAATTAACAACTTCTGGTTTCTATAGAATACTTCATGTTAGAATACAAATCTGAGACTCAAAATATAATTCTGACATCAAAGATTTATAATATGCTCTCAAACTTACCAACTCATTTCCAGTGGTAGGAAAAAAACCATCATCACCATCAATAGGCATAATATTATCTCTGGGATTAGCACCAACCAACCATGGGGACGCCTGTCCCCAGTGATAGAATCTGTTAAACATTCAACACTCAAGTTCAGTGAGTAACCACAGAATAATATAAAAATATCCGTTTTTCTCTTCTCAAATGGAAGATAACAAAAAATATAAAGCTGATACAACGCCCTTAAAAATGTACAAGTTCACACCAGAAACAAGTTTTCTGAGTTATACCTCACACTAGAGCTTTACAATTCATGAAGTTGGTCAACAGCTTATCAAAAAATTAAATAAATAAATAATTTATTTAAATTACAAAAAAAAAAAAGGCGATAAAAAAGTATACCAAAAAGAATAATATTTTTAATAATGAACAGTAATTATCATCCCCGATCAATTGCATAGTACAAGTAGTGATTAAATTCATAGAAAGCAAAATTTTGAGTATCACATACTTTTCACAAATGGGTAGCTCTGGACCATGCTGTATTTCACGCAAAACACCTCTACATGAAGAATCAACCAGAGAAATATAAGAACAAAGATGAAATTTGGAAAAGGAAATTGCAAATGTACAACTTATCCTGTCTGCAGTTCTGAAAACCACAGCAAACTAAGAGCTAATAATAAATCTCAGTCAACTAAAAACTTTAAAAATAAAGAAGGCATCATGTTTATACCTGGACTGCATTCTAGCCGGAGTTGCATGCAAAATGGCACTGAGAAGTCCAAGTATTGTCTGTGTTTTTCCTGTTCCTGGGGGCCCCTAGAAAAAAAAAAAAATTGACATGCATGCAGCTTCCACAGATTAAAGTATATAATATATAATCAGACTATATATATATATTAACAGTAAAGGTGCGACCAGTCCACTGAATCAAATAAAACCAGCCAAATGACAGTAAACAGAGAATAATCATTTTGCAGTCATTTTGGTTCACTACTCTAATGTATACTTGGCAAAAAATAAATAAATAAATAAAGCCAGTCTCATGCTTCTTTCAAAGTCTTTTTTTGGGTGAGGGCAAGTGCAGGTGGTGTCATGCAATATATCGCTAAGAGAGAGAGAAGAAAGTTTGAGAAACTTTAAAATAGTGCCTAAGAATTTTATTTTTAAGCTGCACTGCATCATCAATTACCACAATGTCCAATCTACTGTTAAATTTAATGGCATAAAGCTAATAGTAGGAGATGTCTTAATGCTTTTCCAAACTTCAGGAGGTATGAAAAGGGAAACCTCAAGGAGGATCTTGGTAATAACCCTTCATCATTTAAACTTTGGGAAAAGGTGAAATGCCTATTTAACTGAACTCTTATATGTAAATATTGTGTAACAAACAAATTTAGCCATACTATCTAACAATGTTCCAACTAGGAAAGCTTCTCTCCTACTTGTGACAAACAATCTAAGTCCACAAGTATCTTAAAACCAAAATTTTGAGTAGATTCCCATACTCTTAAAGTATTTCCTGCATTAACATGGATACTTAAGACATTGTTTTGATAGGAAGATTTATGGACTATTTGTAAATATAATACAATTAATAAGTTGGGAACCCAAATAACTGACAATATTTCATTCTTAGACACCATAACATGAAGGAAAAACTGGCCAAAATACACATATAAATATAAAATGAAGACATAAGTCAAACCTGTATCAAGACAAAGGATTTACGTGATAGACCTTCCTGCAACAAACAATAATGTTTCTTAGACTAAAAAAGCAACAAGGAGAGATACACGGATTTTTAATTTTGTGAACTGTGTACTGAGGGGAAGATATATATATGCATTCAAGTAGAAACATACATATATCGCCTCTAGTTGGGAGACATTATGATTTTCTTTAATATACTCATCCAGAGGTCCAGGAACTTTCCAACTCCGGGATTGAGCAGAAGTTTTCTCAGTAGCTGCTAATATCAAATCCTTAAAAGGGAGAGAAGCAATTGACCGTAGAGCAACATATTCCCGGGCAATAGTTGATAAGCTGCAAATCTACAAGAAATATTGCATCCATTAATGACCAGCCTAAACCAGATATTGTTATACATAAAAAAAACTATAGGAGATGTTTGTAATTTGTGTGCCATGGTTCAAAAAATCATTTTGACTGATTATGTAGTAGGAAGAGAAAGAATAAGTTGAAGTCAGAATAATCACATACATTTGTCAAATTGTGACACATGATAACGCCAAAAGCAAGTCAGCATTTTATACCTATTCTTCCTTCTCGTTTAAAAACCACTTCCAGCCCCTATTCTGATGTATTAATAATGCCGCAGAAAGCATGGAATCGCCAAAGGTGTATTAAAATCCAAAAAAAAATAAAAATAAAAAAACCACTAGTTTATCCAATATTTAATATTGTTATCCCAATGTATATCCAATGACCCATAAACTCCAGTTTCCTATATCCCTAACTGAGAATACTAATCCACGACCATTTTTAAGGAAAAAATTTCAAGGGCAATTTAAGAAGCCATATGCTTAAAATAAAGGAAAATAAATTTTAGAATGTAACACATAGAAATGCAAAGAAGAGGTATCAGGAAATGTTTTAAAAACTTTCAAAATAGTTAACACAACTTCAAATTTCCAATTTTATTATTATGGTGATTGCGGCTATAATTAAGTAAGCAATCAGATGATACAAAACAAGATAGGAGAAAAGTATATATTTCTGAAGAAAAAATGATATACTATAGTTTTATTTAGCCATTGTTTCCAATATGGGAGAAAACAAGAAAGTAAAGATGAGGTGGAGAAGGAGAAGAGGAGAGAGCAGAATTTAGAAAAAGTTCAGAGAATGATGTGAATGGAGAGTGGTAGCTTCCAAAGAATTTTCTAATCTATCTTTAGTTCCCTTGTCAGATGGGTCAAAAAATTTTAATATTTTTCAACCAATAAACATGAAAAAATATATATATCTATGAATTTACTCTATAAATAAATCCAATGAGTACTTGAATTACATCTTCTTTGTAGAGTCGCGAACTCAAATTAGAAAGAGAATAAAAAAGTGTTGCAATGTGATTACCCAAAGAATTTTCGATTAACAACAGCTATATCAATCAATAATATTGTAATTAAAACAAACAGAAAGAAATATCAATTTTAGGTCACAGTAACAACTTGAAATTTATAATCATATATAAGCTAAACACTTTTTGGGTTAACATTAAAAGAACATGCCAGAAATCATGAAATTGTTCTGTCATGCACCCTTTGCCCTAGTTAGCATTATTTCAATAAAAATATCTGCAAAATTGGTTAACCTGAAATTTTCCACATTTAAAAAGTCCATTTAGGCAATTTCCATATCATTCAGCACCACATCTTTAAGAATATATACATACTAATTTATGCTCAAAGAAGGAAAGGGCAGCTTACAAAATAGAAATACGAGGATTGAAAATTTACCTTCAGGCTGAACAAACATTTGTCCAGTGCATTGACAGATGAAGTGACAAGAGAGCACATATTCACTAGCCTTTCAGATTTAACAGCATCTTTATTCATATGAGTGACTTCTCCAGCTAAGTACATTCTAAGCCTTAGAAGATTTGGTTGGGTATGCTCCACCAGCGCAAACGCATAGGTTGTTGGCAATTTCGAGCCTTCCTTAAACTGAAACAAGTAATGCCCTCCAACCAGTCAAGACCACAAGCTATATTAATGATTTTGTTAACAACATATATAGATTCCAATCTGTTGCCACGAACAAAGGGGAAATGATATACATAAAGAGGGAGGTGGGAAACAAAAAATAAGAAGCCCACTATTTTCACTAATCATTTTAATAATTTTGGGACAACAAAATGAACTTAAACTAGTTCTATCATGATCTTCCGTGTACCAAAAACTGAACTTGCAGAAATCTCAAGATAAATTCCTTTAAAATAGCATGAAATGCATTTACATGAAACAATTTTGAAAATTAAATCAGTATCTAATACAATTATGGGGACAAAACATAATAGATAAGAATGTCAAAACAATTCAGTGTTCTAATTACCTGCTCTTTTGAAAGCAGCAAAAGATCATTTGGTGATATTGGCTCTTCTTCCTCAGCATTGTAAGTAACAGCAGGTAAGTGAAACTCATCAGCCTCACCACATTCCATGACCAACCTAAGCTTCCAATCTCGCACTGGAATTACCAATCACAAAGCTTTTGGATCATAATCTAAAACTCAAATTACATGAAAAATGATAAATAATATTTCCATTAATGCTACGAATTTGAAAGGAAAAAAAACCAGAAACCATCTTAACCGCAAATTGCTTAACATAATTTATTAGGAATTGAATTTCATTTCAGATTTACGTGCACTGTCATTAAATTTCTTAAAATTTATCATAAGAGTTAAAAGTAACTTCATAGGATGCAAAAAGAAACTAAAAGAGAGAGACACCTTCTTCGTCATCTTTCTTTTGGATAATCTGAGCTTTGACTTCTTCAAATAAAAGGGGCTCAAACGTAGCCAAATAATCATCCACATCCTTATAAGTGTCCTTCACTTCTTTCAATCCCAATGCAGAAGCATCAACCTTTTTACTGTTTTTGTTATTTTTCTGCTCAGTAAAAAAAACAAAAAAACAAAAATCAAAACATAATTTGGAAAAAAAATATACATAAATATTTACAACTACATACATTGGATTCTTTGAGAAGGTAAAAGTAGTCCCAGCCAAGAACAATTTTGCAGAAACGGTATATTGAAGCTTCATCCTGAGGCTTGTCTTTGTCAGCTGCCATCTATTGCCAAAACAAAAGACAACATTCAGGACAAAGGAGGGGTTTCGCTGCAACAATTTTAGTATTCACGGGTCATATCCAGTTGTGGAGATGATATCCCTGCCCAGACAGGTCTATTCAGGTCCAAGAGGGTTTTTTTTTTTTTTTTTTTCTCTTTTACTAACTATATTCTCTATAAATAAAGAGTTCCAATCTTTTGTGTCAAGTTTGGTTTACGCAATAAACATTTCAAATAAAGCAGTGAAGAATTATATAATACCCAAAGATATAAACATTTTCTTATGGCTATATTCTAATAAATAATATCCAATTGAAATGCAGCAAAACAAGTAATATACAGTTCATAATTGCAAGCACTATCAAATAGTAAGGTGTGCAAAATCACATTTCATAGTTAAATAAATTAAATAAAGATAAAAACAAAAAAAACAAAAAAAAAACCTATTCAGTTTCAGCTAACAGTAAACTCAGCAAAATTCGAACAAAATTAAATTAAGTTCACAGAGACAAAATAAAACTCATAAACTACAGCTTACATTTTCCGTCGGGTGCTGCCAATGAGTCACTGTCGATGAAGACGAGCTACTTCGGGTGAGTCGAGTTGAATGGAATCTACGCGTGCCAGTGAGTCGCACAATATGCTTCCGGTGACGGTGAAGGTGACGGTAAAGAGTGTCTGGTCGGTGATGGAGAATCCAGATTCCGGCCGGCGTATTGTGTACGTGGATGCCGGGAAGCGGCCGTGGAGTGAAATGAGTTGCCGTTGAGAGGGGAGGCGGCCAAAAGAGACTTCACCGACTGTTTTCATTCTATTTGGCTGGTAGTATATATAGGTCCCCACCATATTTCTATTTAAAACCCATTTTCTATTTTTTTAATGGCTACCTTAATAAAAAGCGTAATACTAACATACACATACAAAGAGATAAATTCAGTCTTTAAAATTTATAATTACTTTTCTTTCTCTTTTTTTTCCTTCTTTTAAGGATTAAACTTGTCTCTTTGTATGACTCTTTGTAAGGCTAGTATTACTCTAATAAAAAATTATTTTAAAGACTAATAACAATAATTTCTCTTAAGTAAAATTAAGAAATTAAAATACCCTGTAGTTATAATAATTTTTATTTCTTCGATTATTAAGTTTTTTGATGATAAATTAAACACACAGGGATAATTAGATAAATATAAATATATTTTATATTATAAATTCTAATTATATATGAAGTGTTCACTAGCAGGAGGTACATTTATGTTAATTTTTAAATCTCACATGAAGTTAAAAGTTTGGTTATTTGATTAGACCTTAGAGGTTAACAAAAACCCTAAGTGGGCGTTTGGTTAGGGGGTATTTAAGATCATTGGGTTTAAGTCATCTTATATTACTTGATTACCATGTTTGGTTGTCAAGTAATATAAGATACCGGTAACCTTTAAATATCAATAGTGGTTACTATTAGTAATATTTGAGGTAATCTGATCACCTCCATTTCTTAGGTATTCTAAAATTATCATAGTTATCTTTTTTTGTTACAATTATATCCCTTATTAATAAAATTTTAGGACAATAATGCCCTTATTTTTAAATCTATTTACATGAATATAGCTTTTACTATTTCACCCCCAATTAATTAATTTTTTGGATAAAATTACCCTTAAATTCAAAACAAATTATAGCCCAACCAAGTCATCGCCCCCAGCCACCTACTGTCACCTGCCGTCAGTAACCACCGTCGCGGCCAATCGCCGCCGTCAGAACGGTGCACGGAAGGCCAAAAATGGCCATCGTGTGTCGATATGGCTATTTCCGGCCAGATATCTGGCCGAAAATGGCAAGATCTAATCTGGTTGTCAAAGGCCAAATCCGTCGATCTAGCCGTTGACGGCCACAGATCTGGCCAGAAATGGCCATATCGGTGCACGATGGCCATTTTCGACCTTCCGTGCGCTGTTAGGCTGCCTGCGGCTGGCTGGGTTGGTGGGGGGGTGTTTTTTTTTATTTTCCAAACTTTTATTATGGGGTTGTTTTTGCTAAGTTTTTAAATGTAGGGGGGTTATAGTAATCCAAATAATAATAATATTAAAAAATAATATAATAATAATATTTAATTAGAGGACAATTTAGTAATTTAAATAACATACCCACCAATTTATTCCTCCCAACCAAACATATTAATATAACATACCCACCAATTAACCAAACACATTTTCCTAAAGATTCCCAGTAATCTTCAAGGTAGTTTATCTTTCCAGTAATCCAACATTCCCAGTAATCCAACATTCCTTGAACCAAACGCCCCCTAATTTCAATCCATAAATAATTAAAATAGGAGAAAGATATATGGTTCACCTCATGAAAACCACCATCACTACCATAAAATCACCATAAATAAATTAGTGAAAGCCATTATCTCGAATTTTCACCACTACCACTAAACTATTTAAAAAATAATAATAATCATAAAACAAACTTTACCTATCATAACCGCATCTCCACCACTCATTGGGTGGGTAGTGTGATGGATAATGTGACCGTTATCGAGAGGGAGATGAAGGAAGGAAATGAGATGAAGGTAATGCAGATAGGACTATAAACGAGTCGAGCCAAGCCGAGTTTTCGGCTTATCAAGCTCGGCTCGTATGCTACAGGATTGAGCTCGAGTTCGAGCTTGAGACTCTCAAGTCATAAAAAATGAGCTCGAACTCAAGCTTGTCCCAGGCTAGCTGAGTTTGAGCCATGCTCGTTAAGGCTCGAATTGCTTGGGTATGAGCTGCGAAAATTTCAACCCTGCAGGTTGTTTTTTGCTCCTAAACCTATTTAAATACACCATTTTTGCATCCAAAATAGTAACTACATCCTCAATCATATTAACCATGATAGTTTTGTATGGAAAATTAAGTTAAGTGAACTAAATTTCTTTTTTTAGTTCAAGTCACTTAATTAATGTTTGAGCTACAAAACATAACATGTTAACATGTGATTGTATCAAAATACAGTCCTAATTTTGATCTAGTAGTAACTAATAAGGTTGCATCAAAATACAGTCCATGACATCAAAATAACAACTATCTAATAATCAGAATAGAGGTGGTTGTACTATGTGCGTGGGTTGCCTATGTCTTCTATCGAAACCACCATCAAAATTTGTTCGAAACCCAACCTTCACCTGCAATTACAACACACAATTAACTAATGAGCACCTACCTAAATTGATGAACACCTGCCTATATTTCATCTAACTAATATCCACAACTCAACAACACAATTGAACTAAGAAAAATCAAGCAAATGGCCTCTATTTCCCCACACCTAAATGGCCTCTAAATCCAATTATTTCCCCAACTATTTCCCCAAGCCCAAATGGCCTCTACTACCCAATTCCAACAACTTCCACAACACAAGTAGACAATATAGAAAAGATTTTCATAGCATAAAGAACAAGTCAAGAACCACAAAATGACCATAAACCATGTATCTGTGCATGCCTCTTGCCACAACCAAACCATGTACTGAATCTGATTCCTAGGAACTTACAGGATAGGAAGTCTAATCTCCAATGGTTGTTGCTCTTCTTGAAATGACAAAGGCGGAGTAATTATAGTTTAGTTAGGATAAAGATAATGTAATTACTGAATTTAATCAAAACAATATTCAATACAACTTACTTTGCACCCTTTCTTCACCACATTCAAAGAGCAGCACCAATCATATCCACATAACAACATCTCCACTGTGTTGGGAGCCAACGACAATCAATACGTGTCGATAACCCTACTCTCGCACTGAAAGCAAACTCAAAAGCAACCGTAGTAAAAGGAATGACTAATATGTCACGAGCTATGGTAGACAAAATTGGGAAATTCGCTAAATCGGCCTTCCACCTTTGCAAAGCATCAAACGCCAAAGGATCTCCCACACATTTATGGCATCCCTGTCCCAAATAACAATCCAACCCTGATTTACTTGGCTCAACCATCTTGAACACGTCCAGAAAACTACTAAAATCATCCCAATAGCTTGAACTCCATCCTCTATTGATATAGAAGCGTGGGAAGCAATCAATGCTTTACTAGCATCAACATACTCCCTATATACCTCATACAAGGCATCCCGAACAATATCAACATTTGCCCGCGCTTCCAGGTCAGGATACATCTTAGGGAATGACCATTGAATGACCCTCATCTTTAGTCTACGATCCAATACAACAGCCACAACCATCAGCATATTACATTCCCCCCAATATTTTCTAAACTTTCCCTTCATTTTCCAAACCATGGCCCTTATAAAATCATCTTCATCTTCACTCTTACTATCCAACATCATTTGATTAGACAAAATTGTTTTAGAAACAAGTTTGATGTCGGATAATCACTCCCTGATATGAGATTGGTCGCACCACTAAATACCTTTAAAATATCACTAAGTTTCTGCACTTTGTCCCAATCATCCTCATTGGGACAATAATGGTAACTCATATCCTTCTTCTTCAACCTAGGGAAAACACGTCTAAAGTTCATTGTCTTTTCTAGCATATCATGTTTTGAATTCCACCGTGTTTTGCAATCAAGAATAAGCTTGCAAGATGACAATTGCAACTGCTAAATAATCTCTGAAAAAACCTTAAGCCTACTCTCTGAGGCATTGATATATAACACGTTGTCACGGATGTCATCAATAACGTGTCTAATTTGATAAAGGCCATCTTGAACAATTAAGTTCAAGATGTGTGCACAGCATCTCACATGAAACAACTTGCCCCCACATATGAGCTTCCCTATAGCTTGAAAATTTTCCTTCAAGACTTTGATTGCAACATCATTGCTTGAAGTGTTGTCCACTAAGATCGTGTGGACCTTAGTTTCAATTCTCCACTCCATCAAGCACTTGAAAATGGCAATTGAAATGGAGACACCAGTACGGGGAGGAGGTAAATGAACGAAGTTCAGCACCCGTTTATTCAACTTCCAATTATCATCAATCCAATGCCCTGTAACGCCCAACATGGAGGTACATGATTTAAATTATGTTTTATAGCCCTTAGTTAATTTTTATTAAAGTTATTTTAAGAAAATATGAAGAAAATGCCTTAAACTTGTATTAAGGGTAAAATGGTCTTTTCACTCAAAATTAGTTGAAAAAGTGGGGAGTGAAAGAGGTAGAATTTCATAAAGAATACAAGAAAAATGAGGGCATTATGATAATTGACTATGGGACAAGGATGGAATTTCCAAAAAACTGTAAGGGCAAAATGGGAAAGTGAGTTTATAAAATAAGATGATAAGGGTTTGTAACCCTTATTTCCTTCATTCCACTGCCACACTACTCCCCCATTTTCTCTCAAATTTTCATTCAATCCTCCAAGGATTTTGAGGGCTTTTGAGTGATTTTTAATAGGGTTTTGATTCAAGACTTCAAAAGGTAAGAATTCATGCTCTTTATCTATGATTTATTTGTGTAAAAGTTGAGTTCTTATGAAGTTTATGCTTAGGGTTAGAAGAAGTTTTGAATCCAACAAGAGTAGAGAGCTTAGTAGAGAAGACTCAAGCATAAGGTAAGTAAATTCCACTCAAAATCCAACTCAAGTTAAAGTTTAAGAATTCAAGTGAGTAGAGATTTCTTTTAAGTATGCATATGTTATGGTTATTGAGAAATTGAGATGAGATTGATGATGAATTATGCTTGTTGTTAGATATATTTGAATATGAGAAGTGTATGTGATGGTTTGATGATGAGTTGATGGATTTATGAAT